TACCCGACTCAGTAGTAATGTGAGAGTGACCTACCCACCTATAGTAGTAATGTAGAGTGACCTACTGACTTGGTAGTAATGTGGTGAGTGACCTACCCGCCTCAGTAGTAATGTGAGACCTACCTGCCTCAGTAGTAATGTGAGTGACCTACCTGACTTAGTACTAATGTGAGTGACCCTACCCGCCTCCGTAGTAATGTGAGGCGACCATTCGCCTCCCAGTAGTAATGTGAGAGTGACCTACCCGCCTCAGTAGTAATGTGAGATTGACCAATTCGCCTCAGTAGTAATGTGAGAGTGACCTACCCACCTCAGTAGTAATGTGAGAGTGACCTACCCGCCTCAGTAGTTATGTGAGATTGACCAATTCGCCTCAGAAGTAATGTGAGAGTGACCTACCCACCTCAGTAGTAATGTGAGAGTGACCTACCCGCCTCAGTAGTAATGTGAAAGTGACCTACCCACCTCAGTAGTAATGTGAGAGTGACCTACCCGCCGAGCCTCGTCGACCACCCGGGAGAGCTGCGCCTTCGTCACGTTAGCGTCCTGGCCGTCCACTGCCACCTCGAACAGCCCCACACCACAAGGGTCCCGGAACTGATCCATGAAGTCCTGCAATAATATCGTATCTCTTACGCTGAAATACATTAAATCGTTTAATTTTTAAAAAGTGGAAATAATGATAGCCAAGCTCACTTACCGTAAAGACAGTGATACCGAAGGTCTTGCCATCTGTGAAGAAGAACATTGAACACTGAGGAGTGGACGCTGTCGTTAACAAGGTTGCCAGCCATTTATGGGGTACTACTGCTCTGGTTTCTGATCTGCCTGAGGTGAAAATTATTATTACTACTACTATTATTATTATTATATATATATATATATATATATATATATATATATATATATATATATATATATATATATATATATATATATACATGCAAGTAAATCACTGTAGGTGTGCGTGATCTAGGTATATGCTGATAACCACAAGGAAAGAAGAAAACACGAAGTTCCCTCAGTAGTAATGTGAGAGTGACCAATTCGCCTCAGTAGTAATGTGAGAGTGACCTACCCACCTCAGTAGTAATGTGAGAGTGACCAATTCGCCTCAGTAGTAATGTGAGAGTGACCTACCCACCTCAGTAGTAATGTGTGAGATAACCTACCCGCCTCATTAGTAATGTGAGTGACCTACCCGACTCAGTATAATGTGAGTGACCTACCGCCTCCAGTAGTAATGTGAGAGTGACCAATTCGCCTCAGTAGTAATGTAGAAGACTACCCTCAGTAATGAGAGTGACCAATTCGCCTCAGTAGTAATGTGAGAGTGACCTACCCGACTCAGTAGTAATGTGAGAGTGACCTACCCACCTCAGTAGTAATGTGTAAGTAACCTACCCGCCTCATTAGTAATATGAGTGACCTACCCGACTCAGTAGTAATGTGAGAGTGACCAATTCGCCTCAGTAGTAATGGTTATCAGCATATATATATATATATATATATATATATATATATATATATATATATATATATATATATATATATAGAGAGAGAGAGAGAGAGAGAGAGAGAGAGAGAGAGAGAGAGAGAGAGAGCATGTGGTAATGATTCGCTCTATTTATGGTAATTATTTTCGTTTTAACGGGTTCTAAAACTAAAGCTTCATTAGGTGTAGGAAGATTTAATTGTTAGTATTCCAGGCTGTATGAATATGATCTACCAGTCTTATCATTTTACACTTTTCTAAAGAAATTCATCGTTTATCAAATACTTACACCAAGATACCTAACGTTATCATTACTAGTAAAATATTGACATTAATATCGAATGTTTAATACATGATAATTTATCAGGAAGAGTCATTAAATTTGTTACTCAAATGAAAGAAGGAATTCATAAACATCACTTCAACTCTTCCAAGGGGATTCTTGTAATCAGCACCAGACCTTTTCTTAACGTGAACGAACGAGGTAAGAGTTTCTGTGGTAACTATTTTTATAATATTTTTGGCTTGTAACTTACTAACCCAGAACTTAACCACACCCAAGCAAGACATACTTTCTCATAATACATTAACCCAGCTAGTCTCAGATTCCCCAAATTGTGTTGCGTTAGAATAACAAACTTTGTGCTGAGGTAAATTTTGTTAACTCCCTTAATGAAATCAAAATGTGCGTGTGTTATTTCCTTGATATTAAGTGATATCGTTTGAAGTGACAAGAAAATCATATATATATATATATATATATATATATATATATATATATATATATATATATATATATATATATATATATATATATATATATATATATATATATATATATATATATATATATATATATATATATATATATATATATATATATATATATATATATATATATATATATATATATATATATATAAAATGAATGATAAGTGACCATAAATGTTAGTTGCCTCGGCAAAATCTGTGAATACCCAGTCGTAGATGAATTCCTCTTTGAGTGAGAGAACTTTCATCCCGGTCCTCCTTGCCTGGCCTTCCTCCAGTATACACACAGTTTAAAACAAATATTGTGGTTAGTCTTATTATTACCATACGGGAGTGGCAGCTGGGCGACCGTAACAGCAAGGAGCAGTACCATCAACAAAGGTGTCGTCATCTCTACCGTCTACCACTGTGAAACATCAAACAAAAAGTAAGATTTTGTTAAGGATATAATAGCGTTAATATAAAAGTATGTTAAGGAGTAAAAAATTCATGGTAATATCTTACAACACCGACTTTAGGTAATTTTTCTACAGAAAAAAATACATCTTGAATATTAATAAAACGGTGGAGGAATTGAAACTTTTGTGAGATTGAGCCTTACACTGTCTTAGAGAATGTAGTGCACATTACTCAGGGTGAGTAAACCAAACCGTTCACTAAGGGATAGAAATAGGTAGGTAAATATTGCAGGGCAACAGATAATACAAGTATTTCTATCAGGTTCGGTGAAATGGATTCGGGAGTACGAAGCTCAACAAGCCAACTCCAGAAATGAACATGGCAGGACTGTATTCATTAACAACACGGGATCCTTAACATATGCTTGGCTGAAGAATTAAACCAATTATTACCATGACGGTATGAATCCAATCATGTGGATGACGGAATCTAAGGGAATCTTCTATTACTCATCGGTTTGTCACTTTACATAGCAAAGGATCTGTATGTTTGTTTTTAGACAGTCTCGTGTCCTGTACTGATCAATTGGTTATGCTGGATTAACTATTAAAAATATTCATCTATTTTATAATATATTTTAATTAATCTTTTATTGTGATACCGGTAATATTATACCGGTATAGTATATATTCACTGTACTTTCAGGAACAATACATGTAAGTTTATGGGTATTAGGAATTACGATTAACATCCTCTTAAGCAGAAACTACCTAAGAAATATTAATGTTTTCGATTATGGTGTTATACTTGATAGGACGCTATTGAGGCACGGAAAGTAGTTTTAAGTAATTTAAATCACTTCTAAATTTGTTATTAAAGACTCACATATTTCAGTTTGTATTATAATTTTTGTGGCTGTCATGTACTGCTGTATATCTGTAACCCATTGTCAGATCATAAAGCAACTTCCTCTTTCCCTCCGGATCATTTTCCAAATTCTGTCTCATTTCATTACGTACTTCTCAATTAGCCAATACTTTAATTTTTGCTCCAGTCTCATTGCATCTTTGTCGATCTTCCTGACGTCTGGTTTTCGTCCATTTTCTGAGATTTTTCACTTTTCTTCCAACAGTTTCTTTGAGTTCATCAATAAACTGGGCATTGTTTTTATTTTGGGGTTACTTTAACGTAAACTCCATCTTCACTGATTCTTTTTCTGTGTCTGCCTTTATCTGGATAATTTTAGCGAACTTATCTTGAAGGTTTCTTATAGCTTTTTGCTTGTTTAGGTTTTCTTATATATATATATATATATATATATATATATATATATATATATATATATATATATATATATATATATATATATATATATATATATATATATATATATTTCATTAGCCCAATAAAGCACGCGGACTTCTACATACAATCAACACCTCAACCCACCAGGACTCGAACCCACGGCCCACAAGCCCACGACTGTTGACCAGGGAATGCTACCTCTGGACCACCAGGATACTAAAAGCAGTCCTAGACTTTGTTATATTTTACACAAAGCCTGTTCAACGAGCTGATGGCGCCGTGAACCTCTAATGGGGACTACCCGTATCACATAGGTGGTCAGAGTAACGCTTACCAAATCCGGCTTCGAAACACGAGGATCCATATATATTTCATTAGCCCAATAAAGCACGCGGACTTCTACATACAATCAACACCTCAACCCGCCAGGACTCGAACCCACGGCCCACAAGCCCATGACAGTGACCGGGGAACGCTACCTCTGGACCACCAGAATACTAAAAGCAGTCCTAGACTCTGTGATATTTCACACAAAGCCTGTTCAACGAGCTTATGGCGCCGTGAACCGCTAATGGGGACTACCCGTATCACATAGGTGGTCAGAGTAACGTTTTACCAAATCCGGCTTCGAAACAAGAGGATCCATATATATTTCATTAACCCAATAAAGCACGCGGGTTGAGGTGTTGATTGTATATATATATATATATATATATATATATATATATATATATATATATATATATATATATATATATATATATATATATATATATATATATATATATATATAGATATATATATATATATATGCTGATAACCACAAGGAAAGATGAAAACACGAAGTTCCCAAGCGCTTTCGTGTAATTCACATCTTCAGGGGTGAGTACAGACTAAAGAGAAATACAAACCAAGGTGTATATATACAGAGGAGGGTGAGACCAGGTCGACAATGGTCAGGTATTAGGTAATGACCCTACTAATCTTTAAATAGCACACAACGGTTGGTGGTCAGGTAAGATGGTAAGGTGACTCGACCTTCTCACCTGGTTACAAATCTTCTTAATTACAAAATTGTCCAGTTTGTACATGCCATTACTCAAATTCATGTTGAATGCTTCGGTATGTTTAATAAGACTAGATTCTATGATGTTCCTACTATCAATTGAATTACAAGGTAATATTGAGGAGGCATTATCCCAGTCAATGCAAGGCTTGTTATCCCTCAAATGAACAAACAGAGCATTGGATTCCTGGCCTGTCCTAACACTGTATTTGTGTTGTTTAATTCTAGTTGCAAGATCTTTACCTGTCTGGCCTAAGTAAAACATATTACATTCCTTGCAAGGAACTTTATAAATGCAACCAATTGTGTTGTTGGGGGAGTTCTTGATTAACATTTGTTTAACAGTGCATGAGTTTTTAAATGCCACATTGACGTTCCAGGTTTTTAGTTGTGAAGGAATGTGTGAGAAATTTTTGTGAAATGGTAATATTAAGATATTCTTATGGTCATGGGTGGGCTTGGGATCAGTTCTATAAAAAGTTTTCTTAGTAATGTTTAGGCATTTGTCTATGAAAGATCTAGGGTATTTAAGGTTTGAGCCAATATTATATATATATTTGTATTCCTCATCAATGAATTCCGGACTGCAAATTCTCAAAGCACGTAAAAACATTGTTGAAAATACTGACTGTTTGACTTTATTATGGTGGGCAGAATATTAATGAATGTATGAACACAAATTAGTTGGTTTTCTATAAATACTGAACTTAAAAGTGTTACCTATTCTGTGTATCAGACAGTCTAGGAATGGCAATTTACAGTCTTGCTCTAATTCCACAGTGAATTTGATCGAGGGGGCTAAGTTGTTAAGTTGTGGCAGGAAAGCTTTTAGGTCCACAGAAATAGTCACGTGGTCTAGTCACCTGTGTTGCGCTATAGCAGTATAACAAGTAAGTCTCATTCGATCTCAGATAGGGGTTAGATAGGGCAGTGATAAAGTTATTAAGAGCTAACAGTGAGTCAATTTCAGGGTTTCCGTCAGAACCCACTTGACTGCGAGAGTGATGACTACCGTTTGAGAGTGCCGTTGATGATTGAGGATTGGCGATTGTCGCCGTTGGAATGATTAGTGTAGGCTTGTCACTGGTTAGAGGGGTAGCAAAGGATCTCTTGAGTGAACGAGTGGTCCCGACAACTAAAACGACACGGGACCAGCATCAGCAATGGGTGATCAGTTCTTACCACGTGGGTGCACAACACCACGTGCCCTCTGTCAGCTAGAAGTATTACCTACTGGCCATGGTCACCTGCGGGCGTTCTCTCTTCCCGCCCATGGACGCACTGAGAGTACACTGAGGCTATCTGAGTAAATAAATGGTCACACACTGAGACCAGGAATCTAGGGGATACCTAGAGGAACATTTTGTCTCCCTTATTACGGGTGTATGTTGAGTTGGGTAGAGCATGGTTCACGGGTATTGGTGGACCCAGTAACATCTCAATAATAGTGACAATATTTTTGTGTGTAGTTAATACCATTTTTCAGTTACTGATATTATCTTAACGTGTGTAGTAATAGTTCCTAAATGATTTTGATATTATTGTTTTTTTAATGTTTGTGTCACTAAGTGGAACCAGAGTGATACTGTGATTTAATTCCTTTAATGCATCTAATTTTCTTTATAATTCCGATCTCATGTATAATCTTTGTTCCCCAGAGTAGTGGTTAAGTTAGGTTAGGAAGTGTGCATCTGTTGGGGTGATATAATTTTGTTGAGTGCCCTTAAGGCCTATTCATTGTAGAGTATTTAATTTCTTATTTTTTATTACCATTTCCTCAGTGACTGATATTTTGAAAGCCTGAGTTTTTGTTTCAATTTTATCAAATCTGTCATGAAATTAAGTCTGCAACTGACCTGTGTTTATTATATATATATATATATATATATATATATATATATATATATATATATATATATATATATATATGTGTGTAACCGGTCGGAATTTACTGGACTTTAATTTCTCACTTGACTTGGGGTTTATTAAAAATTAATAGATGGTAATGGCAGTGGAAGCGCCCCTTTGAGAAAAATCCTGAACCAGCACGAGAACACTTAATCTACTAAACAAAATGAATTGTCCGTGACCCGTGGAAGGATAGCGTCTGTGACTGGGATGAATGAGACACACTGTAAACTTTAGACACTTATATTCCCTCCAACACTACAAACACAATCAAATAATGGTACACCAATGTGCGCACCTCTTAACTTGAACTTAAAACACTACTCTGGGAAATAAAAGTTATACATGATATAGAGATTATTAGAAACTCAGGCAACAATAAATTTGAAGTATTAAGAAATGTTGCTTGCACACATGAAACAGGCCTTAAGGGCTTTCACAAAATAATATCAGTCACTTAGGAAATGGTATTAAAAAATAAGAAATTAAATACTCTACAATGAATAGGCCTTAAGGGCACTCAACAAAATTATATCACCCCAACAGATGCACACTTCCTAACCTAACTTAACCACTACTCTGGGGAACAAGGTTATACCTGAGATCAGAATTATGAAGAAAAATTAGATGCATTAAAAGAATCAAATCACAGTATCACTCTGGTTCCACTTAATGACACAAACATTCAAAAACAATACTATCAAAATTATTTAGGAACTATTAAACTACACCCGT